GGATATCTTCTGCGTGGATCATATTAAGGAAAAAAGAAAAAAAACACCGTACGTCTGGCTATTCTCGGAACTCCCGAAAAATCGCTAAAGAGACATTGTTTTGCCACGATTATAGCTACGCAAGGAATATTAAAGGAAATTTCTGAAAATCATATTTACTCATTGTTTTGAAGTCTGCAAAATAATGGAACGCAACGCATTACATTTAAAGGGTTGCAATAAATTTAGAAATGTAATAAATCGTTTAAGTTTTACCTTAATAATTATGCTAGCTTTTGGCTGATTGTTTTTTTCTTATATTACAATCTGTGTGTCTGGATTATCAATGACGTGCACATAAGCTTTGAAACATGCGTTGAACTGTGAACTTATACAGCGAATTTAGTTAATTAAAAATTCTTGTAAGCGGAATGTTCAACACCCACTTTAAAATATAATTCATTGATTGTAATTCGTGTAAATTGCCTTAACTCACCTTTACAGAATGGAGGGCAAAATAAGAATATCAAAGGGAAGAATTACAATCCCCTTTATTGCGGCTCATATAATAGCTTTTAGATAGATTCCAAGGCAACTTTTTCCTTAGGGTAGCTTTAGTGTACACAGAGACGAGTTTCTTGTAATTAAATCTTAATATAGGTTCATGAAATTAATACCACATACCATACCGTTCAAATTTTACTTTTCTTTCTCAGATTTACACTCAAATTAATTAAATAATTTACGTTTAGAAATCTTTGTGAAAAGATATTATTATTATTATTATTATTATTATTATTATTATCATAAATTTAGCCAGAGAATAAATTCTGAGACTAAAGTCTTAAAGCACTAGCACGACCATTGCGAGTTGCTAGTCGAGACTCTTGTCTACTCGGCCACTCAGGCGGATTTATAATCATTTTAATCAGAGAAATAAATTCAAAGACTAAAGTCTTAAATCACTAGCAGCATCTATGGCAATTAATTTTGCTGAACACTCACGGCCCTTGACTTTTCATCCCACGATCATTGATTTGTTAGTCGAGATTCTTTGCCTACTCGACCGCTCAGCTGGATTAGGGAAAGGCACAAAATTATATAGCGTATAAAAATTATTAAAATTTATGATGACAATAATAACAACAATTTGGGATGAAGCTCGTATTCGATTTACGAAAAAGAGGAACATTGCCCGCTTGGAGTAAAGATAGTAACAGATATTGGTGTTCCTCAACGATCTTTACGTGCGTATAAATCAACCTTTAAGTGTCATTTGTGGACTGAAAATCTCAATATATTTTACACTACATGTAGTACATGAGACATTAAGCTTTTGCGGATTTACACAACGTCCAAAGACATTTGAAATAGACTCAATTTTTTTAAATTATATTGATCGATTTAAAATCACTTGCGAAATCGATCTAGGTTTGGCTAATGTTTAATTTATTGGAACCAATATATGAGGTATTTGGATAAGATTTAGTACACTGACATGTTTTGGCTCAAGACTGTGCGTTATTGCAAATGGTTCGGATCGGATCACTTTTTCGACCATTTTCCATACAACGCTTTATTTTGGAAAAGTTTTTCTTCCATTAATACAGTTATTAAGCGCAGTTTTGTCAGCAGCTTAATGATGGGACGTGTTTTTGAACGTGAAAATCGCATCTCCGTCACCGTCAAAGAAGGGCGCTGCAGGAATATGATTACTGATTTTCTGTGGTCAACTTAATCAATTAAAAGAGGACGAGAACAAGCAATTAGAAAGCTTTTTCAAGGACTTGAATCTACTTATGTGGCATCACATCGTTTTTCATGGCATGACTTCACTGACCTCGACATGGGGTTACGCCGTTTCAATAAGATGGTCCAACATGCTATGCAATTCGCGACAAAATCAATTATTGGAGGAAAAATTATAAATATATATAGCACCTCGTACAAAAATTCATAGGATAATCTTTAAATGGCACTAACTTTTGACAAATTCAAACGGTTTTTAGATAACACTAACCTTCAAAAGAAATTTGTCAAAGTTTTATGCACTTTCGGCAATTAATTTATAACTTGCAATCGATTTAGTCGTCTTGCACATGAATTTCAAATTTTTGCATTGTTTTCAAAAAACAAAGGTAGCATCACGAAAACTACCATCACTTGTAAACTAATCGTCGCAATATCATTCTACGAAATTTATTGAGTGATGTGTTCAACACCTTTAACTTGATTCCACTTGACATTTTCTTGTACCCTTTGCCACCTAGAAATATCTGGAAGAACTTGAAATAGACCCATCTTTTATCATATCAATCGATTCAAATTCGCTTTCTAGACCGATCTGCGCTTGCCCGTACGTACGTATTTTTGTTTGTCCGTCTATCGGTCTGCCTTGCCTTCCCTCTTGGTTGCTGGTGTTCGACTTACAGGTAGCAAGTTTCGAGATATTTTGATAAAATTTGATACATCGACATATTTTGACCAAAGGACAGACACCGTTGGAAATGGAACGGCTCGGATCGGACCACTTCCAATATAAGGTCTTATTTTCAAAATTCGTCATATGAATAACTGCATTAAACGAAGTGGTATAAAGTATTTAAAGGTAGACCATGTGCCACTATAATGTTTTTACTTATTGACCCTGTGCTTTACTATTTTCCTGATAGCATTCAACGATTCGTATTATATATATTAAATAAGTATTAAAATATATATAAATATGTATATCTATTTTTGAAGGCGCACGAAATTCTTTTAGCGCTAGGTATCTGCATGACGATTGAAAAGATGGCTACGATTACGATTACAAAACTTTGTATAGCGAAACAACCTGTTCATGGGGCCGATGTCAGGTTAACTGCCAAAAGGCCGAATAGTTTTCCTCTTTTTTTCAATATACTAGATTACAGTCTGAAAACTTTGTTGTTTTAGAGCATCCTTTAAAATTTGTTTATCCACTTTATTCATTGGCGAAAAGCTAAAGCACTTGACGACTAACAGCAATAACAACAAAAGTAAACAAAACCAAACGAGCATATGAATATGACACACATCAAAGTATAATAGAATTTGAAAGAAAGAAAGAAAGAAAGAAAGAAAGAAAAGGGTTTTAAATTTACTTTTACTATTTGCCGGGAGGGTAGCAAATAATCACTAATTATGACATGGCAACAGAAGAAAAGACCATATCATGTAAATATATAATTTCATGGCATGTTAACGGATCAACAAGTCAACTTTAATTTTGTTCATTCAATCAGGAGTACAATCTACGCGTCAATCTTTTTTATGAATGTTGCAAGAAATTCATTAAATTTTTCTTCTAAGATATTATTCTAATATAATCCAATCTAACAACAAGTTTAACACCCAAGCTTGATAGCTTAGTTTTGAAATGGTATTGGGCTACTCTGGCTTCTTAACTAATATAGTTACGAGTTTCAAGTTAATGTTTATTACCGTCTTAAAATTAATAAGCCAGAACAGCCTTTTCCGATCAACACTTTTTGAAATTTTATTAAAAATTTTTAATTTAATAAATACACCTAAACACTTTATTTATTTTTTTTCTTATTGACTATCCTTATTGACTATCTCACCTTTGCTATTGGATTGTGCTTTTGGCGGTGAAAAAGTGTTGTTTGTTTATTTCAATGTACAAAAGTTTTTCCTTTTTATTTATATTTCTGACTTTTTTTCCTCTTTAGGGACGCGCCATTCTTTTTAACGATAAGGTAACATTTATAATAAAGAGGTTTACCTGATTTTAGTTAATACATGAAATCCAGTCTGAAAATTTATTACGCTTGCTGAGTAGATTTTCTTTCATTTGCACAACATACGAACAAGTTTCAGATTCTAAGAATGTTACGGATCGAACACGATCGGTTCGGGATTTCCACCCCTTAAATTTGTATTTCATAATAACTTCGGTACGATGTTCCCCTTCGGAGTGATAAAATTGATGTACAATAAATATGAAACGGACTTTACATGCGTTCCTTTACATTATCCTAATCGAGTACTTATTTAAGTCGAAACCAGAATTAATTCAATTTCAATTGAAACGGTGCATTAAAATCTTTATGGTGTAGTGAATGAGGCAATAAAGGCCGCTACTCAAAAGATATATAGTTTCCAAGACAGTCAAACATACATTTGGACTTTGTAAGATGTACATGTTTTCGATAACCAGAATTGGAATAAATCAACCACTTCGATACTCTCATAGACAGAAAAAGCGAATTAGAGAGCAAATATTTTGCGTAGATGTGTTTTTAAGCTCTAAGGCACTATATGGAACAAAATGCCAAAGAAGGTGATAAGTCTGTTATAGGCATGTCCCTAATTTCAAAAAATTATATATGCATATATATGAACATATATACGTATTTGTAGTTGGAAATGTAATTAGATATGAATCAAGAAGCATTTGTTAATATTTGCTATAAAAAATAAGACTTATTTAAATGTTTTATTTGTAGGCAGTAAGTTCCCAAGCCCTGTCACAATTCAATCATATTAACTCCTTTATTTAATGAATGTGTAAGATTTGTACATAGATATATATAGATATATATGTATAGATGTATATAGATATATATATGTATATATATATATATGTACAAAAAAATTTTAACTGAGATGACTTCTATACATATAAGTGGCTTATCTTTATACAAAGCCACTGCATATATGAAACACACACGTAAATGCAACTATCGGAAGGCATCTCATAAATTTTGCAAAATTCCATTGACTGACTATTCGCTAAGCATTCCCAACCGAAAAGCAAACAAAACAATAAGTGAACAGATATACGAGCACAAACCGCAGCAACAATCAAAACACATCCAGAAGTTTGATCAAAGAAAAGCAAAAACCAGTCTTTAAAAAGAACAAAATATTAAATGGAATTTTTCATGCTAGATAACTTCATATGTTGATTAAGATTGCCATTAAATTTACGAGAATACGCCTAAATATACGGGAGAATATGTATTTTTGATACTTACTTTTGCATTCGTTGGCATCAGTGTCTGTCGCTCGTCCCCATGGCCGATCAAAATAAAAGGGTTTACATCTTTCACATTCCGGGCCAGCTGTATTGTGCTTACATGCGCACGTCATTGTCAGTTTGCCATGTATAGAAATGTCTGCCTTAGTAGCTGTAGAACGACCAAGATTAGCTCCATCATCACCCGTGTCGCTTATACCGCCATCCCCATAATCAGATTGCAAAGCATCATTAGAACTAACAAAAGCTATACATTCGGAGGCATGGCCATTGCATTTACAACGACCGCCGACCGCAAAATCGGAAACGGCGTAATGTTGCGACATAGCGAACAAATCTTCAACACTAGGGATTGATGTGCGCTTATCAAAGTCTATGGATGAAGTTTTTTGCTGATATTTTTGGCGTTTCACATCCACAATACTTTTAAGGGTCGTCGAAATCGTAGATGTCATAGGTGCCGCTATAGTTGTAGTGGTTAAAGTTGTTAGAGCCGAAGGTTTACTTTTGTACAGATTTTCATAGGTTAGAGGTTTATGTTTATAGTTGGAACGTTTAGGCTTATCTAACAGGGTACCATCATTGGCATAATCTAAATCGATATCGTCGTCCAATTCAAGGTGCTTCTTTGGTTCAATATAATCATCCAAGCCATCATCGTACGCTACACTGTCATTATCATTAGCTTTATAATCATATTCTTCATTTTCTTCTTCTTCATCATTCTCCTCTTCTTGACTGCTGGTCAACTCGTCATCAAAACTACTATCATCCGCTTTGCCCTCATTATAAGCAGCACGAATTAATGTTTGCTTAGGTGGCTCTAGACGATGGAATATTACTCGAATGTCGGTAGCAGTGACCCAATCTTGCAAGACTAACGAAGCATCCAAATCATTAGCCGAAGGTCGACCTTCCAATGTATTGAAAGCAAAACGGTTTCCGTTGCTGTTTTGATTGGAATTCATGCAACGAGCTTCTTGTTCATTAAACTTGCTAATTTTAGCTCGATCAGGTCTGCCGTAAAACTTTTGACACTGCGAACTGTAGAATTGAAACGGTTGCCAAGTTTGACCGAAATCGGAACTTTTATAAATGGCCAAGGAATCAGGCTTAGGTGATTTGGGACAAAACGATAAGCTAACATAGGTTATCTCGTACTTTTTACCCAATGATAAAGTTAAAGTTATATTATCGGGTGGTGCGTTATCCAAGTCATTAGGTACAGGAACTGCTGCGGAACGCCAGCAAGTCACATTATTCGGATTGTTCAAATCTGTGAGAGCGCTGGACAAAAAGCGCATATCAATATGCGAACTATCGCACATGCGACACTCGTCGACTGAACCATCGCGTTTCAATTCACAATAGCGTTCGGGTTGATAAGCACCGCAAGTACTTGATGCGACAACTGGATTACCATAGGCAGCGTTAACAAAACTAGGTAAACATTTACGTGATTTGCCCTCATAATAACAAGGATCATTGGAATTCGAGTTAGATGACTTAGTTAAAGTGACATTAACCAAACCCAAAAGCAGCCAGCAAAAGAACAATAGCTTCTTTTTAAATTTCATAGCGGAACCCAAAATTCTTAATACAATTGGAATTAAACTAGAGGAGCGATTTGTTAGCGCCATTACCGCTAAATACTTTTCACTACGGCCTCAAAATTCTTGCATGAATAAAGTCATCGATAGAGTACACATATTCCAATCTTTTACGACTAAGCCGATTTCATGCAGTGACGACGGACTTTATATTAAATGACAACAGTGTACAAATTTCTATCACACGCCTAAGTCTGTCTGCTAACGATATTCTGCACGCGACAATTGACTTGGAATTCCCTTATTTATTAATATAGATTTATATGCATATTTATATTTATACCATTTGCGATCTCCCGGTTAATACTGATTAGGATAATTACGAGTTGGTTTCACCAGTGACGGTGAACTAATGGAATGTTGAACTAGTCTTCAGGTTAACATGTTGCTTTAGAAGCTTGATTGCATTAAAATATCCAAATGAGACGTCCGGGCAAATTCCGATTATGTATTCCGAATATGTATACTTGCGAATGAGTTCCGTTTTTCTGAAAACGCGTTTATTTGTTCATATTAATTTGCTGAAAGCAAAAAACAAAAAAGTAGCCTTTAAATCGACTCACAATTTATGAACTCAAACACAAAACAAAAGCAGTCATCTAAATTCTTCCCGCTGTCTCCACGGTGCAAACTAGTCTTACTGTCTTAATGTTAAGTGCAACAATCGTACCCGGCAGATTCACAAGCTTCTTCTCTCAATTCACATATTAAAGCACGGCAAGCACGGTGTGTTAAAATATCACCAAAGTTTAAAATTTCTTTCTTGCTTTTGCACTTTTAACAATAACGGCAACTCTTTAATTATGCATTGTAATTTCATTTAACATCTTTCATATTCACACTTATTTTTTCAAAAATAGAAATTCATATTTGTTGATGCTTTTTTGCATTAGCTAGCGACACTTATAATCTTCTTTGCTATTCCTAAGTATGATGGGAAAATTCGAAATGCAAGAAAACATAGACATTTGTTCGTTTGTTTGTTGTTTGTTTGTTTGTTTGTTTGGTTTGTTTTTTTCCTTTTTTCTTTTTTTTTTTTTTTTTAATTTTTTTTATTTATGGACTCTTAAATACAGCCAGCGACACTTTCGTGAAAGGTCCGCTAATATCAGCTGTTGCAGCTAACCTGTCGTGTTTAACACATACTGTTTGTAATTCAAGCATCAATAATTATTTTAGGTTATATTACATATTATGCGCTAACATTGTTATCGCAACTCTGCGGCTCTGCATTGTTTTCCAAGTATAATCTCGTGGTGAACTCATGTCATTAATACACCACACTTCCGTATTCCGTTTAATTTAGGTTGCTGTGTTTTTACTTTTGCAAATAAACAATGGAAAAACAATAGACACACAACACACTCACGCATTCGTTTCATAAAATCGAGCGGGTGCGTGTGAGTACGCGGAACGAAAAAACACTTAAAATATACGGCAGTTCCAGTTCCACATTCATCGAGAGTTCAATTAGTACTGAGATGCGCTTCATCTTCAACATTTTATTGGTTTTATTGTGCACACATTTCGGTAATCTCTCCCTGTTCTCTACGTCTCTCTATTTTTCGTACATGCTATCAACCGTGGCACGTCTAACCCTCCTATAACACAGTATGCGTTTACATTTTTTAGCGATGAGAAGTTTAGGGATGTTATGGTACCTGATACGAATAATATTACACGACAAAAACCGGGAAATAATCAGGTCGCTGAAAGTCAGCTTCCACTTTTATTTTCCGCCGTTTTTCCTAAAAAGCTGAATACAAACTTAAAGAAGAATTTGATCATACGTCATTACACCTTAGGGCATGTGAAAATGAGGACCAATGAAATGCGTATACACGACCATACGCTTAATGAAAGCGATATGAAAGAACACCAAATAGTTTCGAAGATTTAATTAATCCTAGGAGGAAATTTGTATCAAAACCCAGTGCATTTTTACAGTATAAAATATTACATAATTATTAGATCATATATTAGATCGTACCTCATCTAAAACGAAGTCTACCTTGTTGTACAAGGGGTAGATGTATATACGCCAATTGATTGGGATGCCAGCCATATGTACACAGGCATAATTTCTTCTCATCACAATTTATTGCTTGAGAAAGCTGCTATTACACTCTCTCTCTTTAAATTTCGTCTGTTTTGTACTCATTAACACTTCTGTGGATTGCATGTTAATAACAGTAACATTAAGCGAATGGAAGAATCTTTTTTTGATACCTAAAAATAACTTGGTGTAGTAAAGCTGATTATGCCAAACAATTTATATGTATAACTAAAGAATCAAACCGAGTTTAAAACTCGCGTTGTATCCCTGGATGTTACAAATAAGAATGCAAATGTAGTAAAAGCAATGTCCTCTACCCGAACGAATAATCATCAGTTCTCGTACGAAAATCACTTAACATTATTATTATTATTTTTCATTACGATAATTAATGATAAATAAATAAATTAATTAATTAGTTAACTAATTGAGATCCTTTTTTTCCAACAATTACAAAAATCGTATTATCTTTAAGCCGAATCTTTAACGAACAACAGCGCAAAACTTTTTATAAACTGTAAATTACTTAAATTATGTAAGGTGGGCGTGTCGATCTTTTAAAATTTAAAGTAAGATAAAAGATGGGTATTTTTTTTATTTAAATGCATACGTGAATGTGAAATTTTTAACTAATTTATGATCAGATTTGCCGTCGCTGCAAATAATGCCGGCATATTGTATTTCAAAGTAGATGATGCGGCAAAATAAATGCTTTAAACGATCAAGTGAAACAGACTTATGTTTTGAATAATTTTTTTAATAATTTCGATCAACCGATTCAACCGATGGCTGAAAAGTTGCAGGCTTGCTTTGTTCGCCATATGAACAAAACCAGCGCAGTGTAGGGCAAAAACTTTTTCATTTGTGTTTTTTATTTGAAAGTTTACCTTTGAATTGAAATAATTAGATGATCACTAAAAATTTGGTTCGCCTCAAAACAAATACCGTACGGAAATTTTTTAAGGCCAGAAGTTTGCTTCCGAAAAATTTAATTTACTTTCTACATACATGAGAAATGAACTTATAAGAAGAAGTGGTAAGTAATTTTCTTTTAGGGGGACTAAAGAGCACGCGTGGACGAAGTGTAACTAAAATTTATTACATTGGAAGAAAGATAAGAGCAGATTTTTCAAAAGCTCCTCGCACATAAGAATTCGCATCAAGTGCTCTACGATGCACATTTTTAATCAGTTCCGATCGAAACGACTCTTCGATGGGCATTTTTTTTTTTTTTTTTTTTATAAATTATCTTCTAAAACTGTACAACCCGTCAAATTTGATCTTCAATTTACTTTTTTATTAACAAGTTAAAGTAATTCACAAATCTGTGCGCAATCAATAAATCTGTAACGGTTAGAAAACTTTCCCTTAATGTATGCTGTGGTTATTTTATTTCATCGTTATTCCCCTGTTGTGATAAGTTCGACCTGCTCTCTCCTCTAAGCATTTGTAACTACCAGCGATATGTATCAATTGTGCATCACGGAGAGAAAGAAGAATATAGAAAGAGAGAAATGTCTTTGTGACCAACGTGTTGCACGCGCTCTTCTCATGTGTTATTTATTTTACTCTTTCAATATATTCGGCTATGTCATGTTAATTGTTTTTTTTTATGGTATGTTATATTATAAGTAACCATAATGAATAGGTGCAATTAAGTCGCTCAGCACTTTCGCTCGCCACAATGGGAAGATCAGTATGCTCAGTATGCTAATGAAATTACCATAGGACATAGAGCGCTTTCTATTATTCAAACAGTTGGCTAAGGCAGCCATAAATATAACGTATATTATGAAAACTCTTGCTTTCATTGCTCTAAATGGTAAGATATGTCCATTATTTGTTGCTATATATTATTAGTTGGAGGAAAAGGTTTTTATCTACGAGCCATTACTACTGGAAAGAATTTTTAAGTAAATCCTCTCTCATAAAAAAAATTAATAAATCTGCAATGGATTAGTTTGTTCTTCGTTATAATTAGGTAATGCCATAAAAAATATTTGGCATAAATCTATGAAAAGGAAAATTTTCAATAGGAGAAAGAAAGTTTTCAGAATTTTTTCTTTAAGGATAAGAGCAAAAACATGTGAAGAAATCAAATGTTAGAGTCCAGTGTGCTGCGCCTCTCATTTTATTGCATCCTAGGGCTAGATAATCAAACATCAAGAAGAAGAGCGGTCGTCATAGCATATAAATGCAAAGAAAGCATATTTGGATTTTTCGACGAGTATATAAAGCATCCGCATGTAAATATATCAGGATACTTTACTTTAAAGTCAACGAACGTTCATAGGGTTCTTATTTAATAGCAGACTAAATCCCCAAAAGGTTACTAACTCGGAAAAGAGAAGAAATAAGAAAAAACAATTTTTGTTTAGACGAAAATAATTGAAAAGATATAAAAAAGCTTAGGAAACGCTTAAGTTATTCCGGAGGAATATAAGTTCGTCGACAGTAAACAATAGTTCATGTAAAAGAAACTCAAAGGGAACTCAAAATTAACTGAGATGCAAGACTCGAAAACTATTTGCAACGCTTGGTAATAATATATTTACATAAATAACAATAATATAAAGTTTCACGGAGAAGTCTTATCGATGGATTTCGCCGGCATTATTAGAGACAGGTTAAAGCCTATAAATAAAAAAGCATTGAATAACTGTTGGTTAATAGGTAAATTGAGAATGAGGTGATGGCATGAAATGAACGAAATCCGGTTAATTGAAGAGTAGCAAAACCATCAGAGAATCCTAAGGATTGAAATGTGAAAAGAGCAAGTTAATGGTCCCTTTCTCAATCACTAATAAATACGAAGAAGCGTTTTTTATTCTCCCGAATTCAGAAGAAAGCAGTTTTTCAGAAGATATCGGCTGCAAGTAAAGTGAAAGGTGAGAAATAATTTTTACTTGATTTTATTTTCTCCTTTGTAGTTCACTTAACTAAAAGTCTATTTGAAAAAAAAAAACATTTTTCTGCATAATTTACTTTTTAACTATTACAAGTCACGTTCTATTCTCTAAGCCCCTTTATATATTTGGGACAAAAAATAAGGTTAAAATGTGCGCTAGCATTTCATTCTTGAAGAGATGAAAATATTTTTTGATAAGAAAATTTTGCTCAATCGTTGTATATCCTCGAGAATTGAACAAACAAATTATTTGAAAAAAAAAAAAAAAAAACAAGTAAAACCACAATAGTGAGAGGTACTGCCCACCATGAAATACAATACTACATCGCTTCACTTAGTACTCTTCTTTATGCAATGGCTTTTTGCAAAGGTAGTCAAAAAAGTGATCTGATCGGACCCATTTTCAATAGCGTTCGGTTTTCGGCAAAAACATGTCCGTGTACAAAATTTCATCAAACTATCGCAAGAATTGCGACCAGTAAGTTGGACACAAAAAACAAGACGGACGGACGGACAGACAAACTCTGTGTAATAAAAGTTAGATCTATTGCAAGTCATTTTATTTTTTTGCTAAAAACGTCTTTGCCAACCTACGGTTTATCGCAGGGTGAAAAAAAACAAATAAAATAAGCAATAAAATTAAAAAATATTATTAAACGAATACAATATACGAATCGACTTATGACAATTTTCAGGGACATTTCGTAACTTCACATTGTATATACGTCTTGAAATATGCTGAGACCTATCAGAAAAACCAAGCTTCATTATTAAATCCATTTTTGTCACCGCCAAATATATCGTCCCCACATATACATAAGACATAAAACATAAGACACTAAATTAATAATATAAAATTTTGGCGATGATGAAAACGGAATTTAGTGTTAAAGTAAGGCTTTTCTGATAGTCCTTAGAGTTCTTTAAAACGTATCAAAAATTCGCACTTGAGTAAATTCGTTAAAATTTTTTATAACACACTTTGCATATTGTAAATTTTCGCCAAAAGTAAACTATACACTGTATGGTAAGTAGTAATAATAAATTTCTTTTTTAATATATTATAACATCAGATAGGATTCTGCACGTACAGGTTATGCTTGGATATCCTATTTCTGTTTGGCAAAGATATAAATGTGGGTAACATGCAGCGGGCTAACTTCACGCTCGTGAAATTTTTTGTTATATTGTCTGCTATTTTTTGCTAAGAAGCATGAGCAGACAACCGATCTTTTCTGCTTTCGTAACCAGACGTGCACTGAAGCATGTTCTCTTATCGATTTCGTGATTTTTCAATGTTAATTTGTTGCAACAACTTGTAACGCTATTGCCAAAATTATAATATGAAATCTCGACTCTCGTGACCAGAAGATGTTTCGAGTTGGCAACAAAACAAACAGACAAACCGAGGAACAGACGGACGGAAAAGCATATCTAAATAAATTTTGAATTTGATACCGAGCAAAAAGACTCAAATCTTAACTCTTGTGTGTGTGACCAGAAGTATGTTTACTG